GCATATGATGATTAGAAAAAAGTAATTTATCTTAGGTAAGCATTAGCAAACGTTTCATTTTGGGGAGGTCAAAACTACTAACTATGTATAGTTTTGCAGTCTGGTTTATGTAATAATCTGACTTCTCTAGAGTTGAATGAAGCTTTGCAGCCATCAATTGCTTATCATTTTTATGAACTTTCACATCCTAGAAATGTGATAGTCCAGAATAACTTCCTTTGACTTGCACCAGAATATCCAAATATCTCCTGTGGTCAACTAGATAATCCAGAAAATATGATTGGGGTAATAGAAGGTCATAAAGATTCAAAACTAGATCTAGATTTTTTTAAAAAGAAAACAAATTTATTAGATTATACTGTGATATCTGTCCAGACATAGATTACCTTGAATGTTAACAATAGAACAAGAAATGTCTATTAAACAGCTACTGATTGTATTCTTTTTCAGTATTTTGGTGTATACAGTTACATTTGCATATCTGTCTATATCTACCTGATTTTCCTCCTTGGCTTGTGAGGTAACAGAACAGAAAAGCTATTAAACTTGTGTGCAAAATAGCTTGTGCCTCAGGCTGTGGTAAGTGTGACACAGCTGGATGTCACCTTGTGGAAGTCAGTAGTATTGTAATAGCCAGTGAGTTATTTTGTCATTACTTGCAAAATCCACTCAGATTATTCTCCTTCATCTTCTCGGGTCTCATTAAGCAGTACAAATACTGAAAATAGTTTTTAAATGTTTCTTCACTAACTTAGTCTCAAAGTTTATGATCAAATCAAAGTGTGAAAGTTCTGCGTTAAGTAGGCCTGGCCCTGATTTGTCTGAACCTAGAGCCCTGCCTGGTCTGCTGGCATTTTAGGAGCTTCAAACGGGTTTACAGACAAATCAAAGGGTTTACATAAGACAATTTGCTTCAGTAACTTAGATTAATTTCTGTCGAAGTTTACTATGACTAGAATGGAAAGCTCCAGGGATTGACAGAATTGCAATTGAGGTGCTTCAGCAAGTAGATGCAACACTGGAAGTACTCACCACTACATGCCAAGATATTTGGACAGAAGACACTAAGCTAATTAGTAGAGATCTGAACGTGTGAATTATGTTAAGAAAGGTGATCCAACATTGTGAAAATCATTGAACAGTATAATTGATATCACATACAAACAACATATTGTCAAGGATATCAAAAATAACAACAGCCGTGCATCATCAGGAAACTGCCAGCAGGTGAGGTTGGATTCAGAAGCAAGTTTGGCAGGAAGGACAGTGGAGCACGGTTAAATTACGTGGTATGGGTCTTCTATCTATAGGTTGTGTAACTTCTACCAAATGACTGGATCAAAGCATGCAAAAGGAGTATGTAAAACTCTAACTTCTAAACTACCACAGAAGATGGAGGGAGAATTTCATAAACATCACAAAAGATGAGCAATGAGAGGAACATAGCTGGGCTCCTTGAATGAATTAATAACAGGGGAAACAGAAGCTGCATTCCTGGTACCTGGAATTAGAGCAGTGGGTTTCCTGATCCACAGAGGGAGTAAAGCTGAGTGCCTTCAAGCAGCAGGCTCGCTTTCAGAGATGAGGTGTCTTTTAAGTATTTATCAGAATGAAAGGAACTTTGTAACCCTTGCTAGAGAAGGGCATATGTCAAAGGGCTGAATAACTGAGTAGGGTTCCAGAACCAGAGAGAGAAAACTTGCAGGCACAACTGAAATGAAACTATAAAAAACAAAAATAAAACTATGTCCTTAACATTTCTGATCCGAAATTATAACCTGTTAGCATCCTTAAAAAGCCATATAATCTTGAGTATTTTATTGTCTGTGGATTCTGCGTGACCATTGAAATGGAGTATTGAATTTAGCAGAGAAGTGGGGTGCCTTAGTCAGGATGGTTGGGATCAGAATAGGATCAAGATGGTTGGAGTCTAAAGGCATTTTTGACCTCTGCTTCATAGAAATCAGCTTTAAGAAAATGTGGAAATGGATTCTCTTTCCTTCCAGTATAGCTAGAGGAGGTGCTCATGCAATTTTTGCAGATACTACTAATTTGAAAATATGTAGCTAATGAATCATTTCCACATTATTGTGGGTGAAAAAACTATTGCAACTCTTTGGGAAAAGAGTTTATCAACCTTTACTAACTGAATTACATAACTCACAATGCATGCACTTTATTTCCAATTAGTTGTTGGATCTTGCTTCTAATACACTTTCCCTTGACTCCAATGACCTTCCCACATCAGAGGTAAACACCTAACACCACTATGAACATTGCTTTCTGCTCTGGACAAGACATAAGCTTCCTGAAGAGTGAATGCTTTCAGCTGTTGAACTATCTCAGAAGAAAATGCTACTTATTTCTTAGTAAGGTTTTTTTTCCTAAGCCCTAAAAGCTACCTTTAGTATATCACTCCCACCCTTGTCTTTTCTTTCACATGGATTCAAACATCTTTTAATTCGAGACCCCAATTATTTTCTAAAGAGCTGTTATTTAAATGAGCCCTCAACCGAGTCTGCATGAAAGAAGCACATCTGCCTGTGTGACCCAAGGCTGGTAAATAATAGAACCCAAATCTAAAATAGGAAATGGTACCAGAGCTTAAATTTTGAACACTTCATTTGCAGAAGCCTTTGGATGATACTGGAATTCCAAAACTCATTTGCGAGTCCACACATGGATTAAGCCTCTTGGGGGAACCCCTTCTGATCATCATTGAGGGATGTGCCTAAAGCCTGCTATCAGACAGAGCATTCCAAAGTAATTTATGGCAGATGTACTCTGGTTAAAATGTTATAACTGATCATTTGATCTCCCTTTAAATTCATATTAAGCTATTTCAGTTAAATAACAGTGAGGGAAACACACAAGGGTTAGCCGCTGGTGAATCTCCTCTGACCACTGACCAGGGTTACCTTGCTATTGTGCAGAATGCTTTGGGAAGCAGACTGTTGCTGATTCAGTTAGGCTAGAACGTAGCCTCTTGTCATTTGAGTCTCATATGATCCATCTAATATTTTGCTCGTTTTTAATGGTTTCTGCTTTGTTATTGAGGTTTGTATCCCCTTTACTTATTTTTCGGTTGCCAGTTTTGTGTTTTTGTGTTTTTCGTATATGAAATCCAGGATATGTAAATCGATGGAGGCAGTAGCAGGGAGGTAGGGAGGAAATGTGGAGCTAATAATGATGAGTACAAGAACGGAGAAAATATTCTAAAACTGAGTGTGGTGATGATTGTACAATTCTTATTGTGATTGAACTATTGAAATGTATAATATGTGAACATTAGGCCAATGAGACTTCCAATGGTATAACTGTTATATGTCTGGGTTTTTTCTAGTTTACTAATTAAGTCAGTTTTGAAACTTAAAGTTAAAGTGGGTATATATTTTAACTCCTTTTCAGGAATGCACATTTGAGACAAGTAAAAGTCAGGTCTTTTTTTTTTCATATTTATTTTCCATTATTTCTTGAAGCCCCAGGTCAAACTTGATCTGCTTTTTGGGAACAACTGTGAGCTCTTTTATTTTCTCCCATTCTATCGAATTATTTTCCCACCCCAGCTTCTGGGTTTTAAAGAATAAGACATAAGAATAAGAGCCAGTTTTTATTGTGGTGACAACAGTGAGTCAATATTAGCTGTTGAAGTCCAATTTCAAAGCAAGTGTACCTGTTGCTTGAGTGGAATAATAGTGATGGGTTCTTTCCAAGCTTCTCTGTAGTTCCCTGAATTTCAATGTCATGAGTGTAAAGAGGTTGCCCATTGGTCAAGGTCAAGGTCATCAGTTTAAAACACCAGCTTCTCTTCAGGAGAAAGGTAAAACTTTTGACTCCCCTAAGAGTTACAGTCTTAGTTACAGGCATAAGAAGACCCATAGCAAACATACAAACAAAAGCATATTGTTGAGAATGAGGGAGGTCAGAACAGAGATCCAACGCCCATCTGTAGACAATGGAACATTCCCCCACAGAGGAGTCACAGAGGTAAAGTAAAGCATGGATGAAACACACAAGATTCCTCGGGTTCCTTTAAGCTTCCTTACCCCCACTCCCCAGCCCCACTATCATGACCCCAGTGCTTCCTCTCACTTTGGACAGACTGGAGCGTGTACACAGGTACAGATAAGAATTAAGAGCTCATGACAAGTGGATTCCAAGAGCAGGAATGGGAATAGTAATACCAAAAGGGTAGGGAGAAGGAGGCAGGGTGGGGAGGCAGACCGATCGTAATGATTGACACAACCACACGACCCCCTCCAGGGAGAAGAACAACAGAAACAATGGGGAAGGGAGACAGTGGTTGGTATGAGATGAAAATAACAATAATTTATAGTGTATCAAGGGGTTACAAGGTTAGGGGGCTCAGGGGTAGGAAAGAGAAGCTGATAGCAAGGACTCAGTATAAAGTAATTGCCTAGAAAATAATGTATGCAACATATGTACAATTTTGCCTGATATAATTGATGTACAGATGCTAATAAGAGTTGTAAGAGCTCCAAATAAAATGATCTTTTAATAATAAAAAAAAGAGTTACAGTCTAAGAAACCCACAGGGGCGGTTCTATCCTGATTGCTAGGATTACTATGGGTCAAAATCAATTCTATGGTAGTGACTTTGAGTTTTGTATTTTGATATGTAAATATTCTCTCTGGTAATTTCGTATTTAGTTAGCCCCCGCTGTTGCTGTGGAATCCACCCCCACACAGATTCTTTCCTTGGCACTCCCCTTTGTCTATGTAAGTGTCTTCTTGGGCAGCGTCCTCTACTTATGTTCCAGTTATGGCCATACTTTAGTATCTATATGTTTTAGTGAACTGATGTACTCTTCTTTCCCACTAACCATAGGAGTATAGCTCCCTCCATTGTTCTCAATATAGTCCTCGTTCCTTACAGGCTACTATGGCAGCTTCTGATTATTCTAGCCCAGAGCCCTGACACGGAGCAGTGCCTCCCCTCCAATCTGTACATGCAGCATTTTCTCTAGAGTGCTCTGGCTATCCTTACCTGGCAGGGGAGATTGCATGAGTGCGAAGGTGGTTTCCCCAGGGCGAGGCGTATCTATGCACTCTGGATTGTGTTGACCACTGCGATTTCCCCAAACGTGGGAAACTTGACTGCATAATTTGTGGTAGTGGGGGACTGCATTCGCGCTCCCCCCTGTTTCAGAAAAAGAAAAAAAAAGAGTGTTCTGGTTTCTCCTCTAGTTGTCCTGACTAAAGCTAAACTTTGGTCAACATTATTCACCGCAGTAAGAAAAGAGTTGGAGGTCATTGGTAGGAGAGTGAGTGACATGTTGGGCCATTCACCACGAAGCCAGCGGCAGCTTGAACTCACTAGCTACTCAGGGGGAAAAAAAACTTTTGCTCCCATAAACATTTATAGCCTCAGAAACTCAGCGACTCTTCTCCTCTGTCCGGCAGCATTGCTATGGGTCAGAAAGGATACATTGACAATGACTTTGGAGTTTTTGTTTGGAGAATAAGCTTTGCCTGTTTTGCAAGAAATTATAATCTTCAAAAGAATTCACTTTGCCTTGAGGGGTGTGAGTGTGCGCGCGCATGTGTGTGTGTGTGTGTGTGTGTGTGTAGGGAGATGGAGATGGAGTGACGATGGGGATGGGGTGCCCATCCTCTCCACTTAAAGAATGAACAAAATGTTGTACCGTTGTCCGCTGCTACTACTTCCTATAGCAACTTTCCCCACCCCAATTAAATTCTTCTGAAAAAATATAAACATTTCAATAAAATATATTAATTGGTTATTTTATATTACCTGTCTTTATATTCTTAGCTTATTTTTTAATTTTTGACATGAATTTTATACTTTCATTTACTCTCATATCTAAGTAGCCACACTTCAAATGCTCAAAAACTATTTATTGACTCTCTTGTTAGATGGTACAGTTATAAGTTATTCAGTTCTTCAGTGCAAATCAGTGTCAAATTTATTTCTTTAGGCAAGTACCACAGTAAATAAATGTAAATAAATTAGTGAGCTAATTTATGGGATACTTGAAGAAAATGTTGGGATATATGAGGGGGCATCAACTCAAAGTCGTATTTTTTCCCCAAAGCTATGTATTTAATGTTTTGTTTTGTTTTTACAAAACAACCTTATTCACCTTCACAGTACTAACCATTACTCTATATTCTTCTGTCAAATCTCTGATTCCATTTTTGGAAACATTTTTCAAACTCATCTGTTTGGATGGATGGCAGCTCCTCCCTTGTTTTTCCTTCCCCTCTTCTATGTCCATTCATGTATCCTCTTCATTTGTGGAAACAAAAAGAAGTCACATGGAAACCGTCAGGTGAGTCAGGTGTGTGAGGCAAGAGAGGCATGCTGTTTTTCACTCCCACATTGAGATGGTTGCTTGAGCAGGTGTATTGTCGTGGTGGCAAAACCAGTTCCCTATCTGTCACAATTAGGCTTTTTTGGTCACACACTGTTTGACAATCTTTTCAGAACCTCTAAATAGAAAGCTTGAATAACAGTTTGACCTGGTGGAATGAACTCCAAATGTACTAAACATCAATATGTTCATCCATTTGGGAAGTTGACGGACATCCAGAATGAGATTTGTCATCAATCAACATTTCATCTTTTCTGAAATGAGAAAACCATTCATACACTAGAACTTTTCCCATAGTGCTGTCCTTGTGAGCTGTGTTCAACATCACAACAGTTTCTGTGGCATTTTCCCACGCAGGAAACACAATGTCACAGCCTGACAATGTTCTCTTACATAGGCCATCACGTAAAAACAAAAACGGGGTTTGAGCAAAACTGCTTTTATTAAAAAAATTCACTGTGACCAGAGAGAATCTGCCCAGGCAATGCCACTGGTTGCACTAACTCAGAGCGAGTTGCAAACGTTCGCTTAGTGGGGAAATGCATATTATGAAAGCTCCACTCCACGCAGCGCAATTCCAGTTTTTTTTTTGGTGGGGGGTACCCCTTCATACGTCATTATGAAGAAAATTACAGGAAATCCTTATGCCAAACTACTTGAGTTTTCCACTCCGACCACATTTTAACCTATTTGCTCATTTAAATAATGAATAGTAGGGAAATGATTCCTATGAGCTGGAAACCTATTTGGCAAAATAAGAAGTTCGCCTTGTCGAAAAATAATATTTAAAGTCTGAATTTTGCCACCTAAAATAGTTATGTTTTAAAGGGAAAACAAAGTGGAATCTCCCAGTAGCCCTTTTAACATAGAAGCATGTTAGCAGTGATCTGGGACCCTCCAATCCTCAGGCCATAGATACACAATGCTAACTGTAGGCCAGGTTACTAGGGTGAAAAATATAGATTTATTTCTTAGCCATTCAGTACACAAACTACTAGATAGCATTCCAGTGTGATCTACAGTATTTAAAAGTGGCGTAGCTGTGAGGATGAGAGCACAATTTGCTGTCACATTGGGTGGCTAGCGATTGATAGCGTTATTTTAGGACAAAGCTTAGATCTCTTATGTATTTATCCTTTTGTTTTGCTTAGTAGATTTTCTGAGTTCTACAAAAAGAGAGTCAGATACTAGTCTGAGAGACAGAATTGGTACTTGTACTCTACAGAATCTGAAGGTGGCTGATTATGCATGCTTTCTCACTGCTTTCAAGTAAAACTGGAAAATACCCTATTTTTAGTAATTGGGCAATTTATAAAAAAGATATTGAATTTGAACAGAAAGTAAAAAGAATATTTTGAGACAGTGTGTCTTATTTTGTTTTATTCAGAATAAGAGAATATATGTTTGTAGGAAGAGCACTAGACTTGGATAATAGTATTCCTGAGTTCAAATCTGTGTTGGGAAAATTACTCAAGGAATGTTAACATTCACTATGGAAAGCAGTTGTAGGGCTGAATAACATAAAATAGAGAGACAATGTTTATTAGCAGATAGAAGTTACTCAATAATTATCCACTCCATTATCTCATTTTATAAATTTTTCGTGTGGTAATTCTGAACTACTCTAAGTTTTCTTGTTTAGAAAGAATGCTAGTAGAACAGCTTGGTCTTAAATATAAACCTGGATATGCACATATGTAAATACAACTGAGATTAACTGTCACTGATGTGACATAGAGGTGAGAATGTTCCATTTAAACTTGTCTCTAAATAATATAAATAAAGCTAATGAGTAGAATAGAGGATGAAGATGAAAACAAAAATGAATCTATTAAAAATGGCACAATGAAGTTATATGGCTGCTAAATTTTGAAACAATATTTTAACTTAACCCATTTATTGTTTGTTTGAAGCTCATTGGTCCTAATCTCTGCATAGAAATAGGTCAATATAATCCTTATGTTATTTTTGTCTAGAAAGTATCCATGAAGATTTTAATGGAAGATGTTGATGCAGTTTTTATTTGTTCACTGGATTGCTTGTTTTTTAAATTTGCTTAATAAGGTACTCATCCAAGGCAACTTCAGTTCAATAAATGGCTGATGTCTTAAAATAAATAGAGTCACAATAACCATCAATTCAGCATTAATATCAGAATACATATTTGAGAGACATGACCGTTTTATTTCTCCTTCTAAATTTGTGTCACAAACTACAAGTGATTCTATGTTTTAGTAAAATCTGATTTTAAATGTGCATACTTTAAAGTGGGTTATTTTTAAGATATGATTGCATGATTAGAAGTTGAATTGTATTTTCAGACTATGTGTGGGATTTGTTTTTAGCAGTTCAGCTAAATTCCACCTGCCTTTCAAAGGTAGTTTCGTTATAAGACATAGGGTGTAGGACTGAAGCTATGCTTCTTAAATTAGCGAAATAAACCCTTGGTTCAATCAAGAGTATTATGAAAAATGATTTTTGTAATTCCCCTGAATATCTGTCTGTCATTTTATATACTGCTAATGAGTCACAGTATTACATTTTTAGAACTATGTTTTAGCTCATCACTTTTATTTCCTAAATGAAGAAGTTGACACCCTATTAGTAAAAGAGAGAGAGATTAAAGATATTCTCTTCTAATCATAGCCTATTTTAACTTCTCACCAAATAATTCATTTTTATACAAGGTGAAGAAAGTAGAATTCTTTGAATTAGACTACTAAACCCATTAGAAATTGTAAAATGATGGAAGTGTTTTTTTACAACTCTATAGAAAATTGTATAGTACCATCCATCTCCTATAATTCCTCCTCCATTAAATCATCATTTAGAAGATATAGCTTATAGTTCTGCAAAACAATTTTAAATTATAAGTTGATATTACCAGAAAATATCATAGGAAATAATGCTAAAGCCCCAGGCTAGAATAGGATTAAGTTTCTCAATAATGAGACAGCTGCATAATATTTTTGGCATTTAAATTTTTTCTAGACATCCCATCGGTGCTTGGTAAAGAATAGAAGGATTTCTTTTATTTTAAAGTTTAGAAACGTACTGTTATACTAGGAAAAACAAGAAACTTTTAGTGGAACTTATATAATGAAAAGTGACAATGATCTCATTTCACAGCCTTGGGTTAAAACATTTGTCTTTCACAGTGTTGGTTCTGGCTATTGTATAGCTAACAGATCTAATGGGGCATCTTCTAAAGTGCTATTTTATTTACTTTCACTTGTTTGTGTTAGGTGTGTTTACACAGCTCAATGCCTATTTATGCTGCTTGATCTCACCTAGTGAAAGGAGTAAACCATAGCTGTCAGGGTGGTTGAAGTCAATCCTGAGAATGACTGAGCTATTTTCCATCTGCTTCAATATTGACGATATAGCATTCACGTCAGGAAAACGGAAGCAAACCGTTACCATGCATTCCTTCACTGTAGACTCATTACACATTTCAAATCAACTGAAGATGGAAATTGTAGTCTAGGAATTCTGCGGTCCTGTTTTTCTCTTATGTCACTTTATATGAACTCTTTCCTTTAGCCATACTTAACATTCTCTTGCCTGCCATCTATAACTCTAGAACGCAATGCAAGAACTTCCAGTTACTCCTTGGCCTTTAATTGACAACATCTTAAATTTTCAGTTTGGAATAGAATCATTTTGACTATCTTTCAACTACTCCTTTGTTTTTATCTTTACAACTGAATCTGTTTCTGTTTACATACCAAGCTACTTCTATCCTCGCCCTTATAAAATGAATAGTATTTTTTCTAAATACTAAAGTAAGTAAAATATTATTACTACT